TAGCCACCACTGGCGAGTTGCCACTCGTGCCTTGAACTCCTATAACTTCGATAATTTTGTAAGTGTGTGCGTGCGACGACGCATACGCACGGGCGCGCTCACATACAAACCATTTAAGGTGCGTATGTATGAAGAGCACTTTTTATACTCTGACAATTCTTAATTCATTCAAATTCTTGTTTATTTGTTATAATTGATTCTAAATGAAAAATGCTTAATAAACTTTGTCCCTGGTACTGTCGGATGGGATTCGAATCCACGATCTTTCGCAATCCGGGCGACTGCTCTAATCACAAAGCTACTCAAGGCCCTAACAGGACTGACGAATTAAGTAGACAAAGTAGATTTTTTAAGCATTTTTCACCAAAATTTTCCTTTTTTTATTGGTAATATATTTGTAGTTATTACTTTTACTGTAAAACCCGTTTAAGACGATTTCACAGAGACTCAACCAAAAACGCGTCTTAAGCGGGAAAGCGTATCATGCGGGATATAGGGAAATAGAAAACGGACCTGCTACATACGTATGTATTCATATTTATTATGTGTTTTTGGATGTAGGTTTTGAATTGTATATTTAAAAATTATGTACGTTATATAAAATGTCGTGTAGTACTATCACGTTATTTAAAATAATTACTTATTTTAGTTTGACAGAAAGATTTTGAAGCATTAGCAATTACAATATTTTCAATTTTGATCATTATCTCTTAGAGCCTCTTCTTGTGTGTTATTCACACTCTCAATAAGAAAGCGTATTAAACGGGATGACGATCGTATTAAGCGTTAAAGAATGTATGAAAACATGTCTCAAATTGCAGGGACTGATGCAAAATGGTGTATTATGCGAGAAATCATATTAAGCGTGATCGTCTTAAACGGGTTCTTTGTATTATTTGATGAAACAATAGCTCTAGTTGCCATACTGATTTAGTATAACATACCGTATATAGCGTGGTTATGGTCACTTCTTGTTATATTATTCTGCCCATAGGGAGAGCAATTAAAAGGTAGACGATGAAAAGCTTTAGCTTTAATCAATTTTTATGGGATGAGGTCGTAATTGTATTCAAGTTCTTTGTTGTGTTTGTGTTTAAGCACAAAAGAAATAATGATCCCGCATAAAACATATGTATTATTCCTGATACCGTAAGGTCAGATAACTATTATTTAAATCAGTTATCTGACTGGAAAGCTATTCTTGAAACGACTTCAGGTAAAACTAAACAACCATACCCATTCTTTTAAATGATTAACCTTTAACAAGACAAGAGTTCTTTGCTCGTCATTGAATCTGTTTTAAAGTAAGGGAGGGGGAGAAATTGCCATTCATACCTTTGTTATCGCTTAATGTTAGTTACTTCGCGTAAGTACTTTTATGCAGAAACAAAGCCGTAAAGTTTCAAACACGTTCCTAAAATTTCAATATCAGTAGTATCCTATCCTGCTTGGACATAATGGCGATATAAAAAAAAAAGATTAACAAAAGAAATTTGAGTCAGATTTGTAAAGTATTTAAGAAATTTGGGTGTCGCATCCTATGTTCGAAGAGGTGGTTTTCAAAAGTGTCAAGAAATAACTCGCTTTGCGGAAATTTAGCGGCTACGCATATATAACCCTATTTTGTATTCATATTCTACATGACTACAAAATATTGTTGAATATAATGTCTTAAGCTTTATTCATTTCATTGATTCCTCATCAACAGCAGCGAAGTATGATTCTGCTTCCGCCAGGAGGCGCTACGTCAACATAGAGGTTCAACGTCAAACAATTGTCACCGTTTAGAGATAAAGTAATATTTGTAGTGTAAGTATAGACCTGCAACGGTAGATGGAAAAAAGAGGTTCATGTAGGTCCAGTGGAACCTGCACTGATGATTAACTTTCGATGGTTAACGACAACTACCGGCCATCCACGAGCCTGAACCACGTGGAGTGAGAATGAGACTTATATCTAGAGCGTGTATTTTACATCTTATGAATTTTGAAACAAGACTTATTATAATTTTTGGAAATTTGTCTATAATTATTCTCATAAGTTTGTTTCGAGTAAGTATGTAATCATCAAAGTCAAAACAATTTAGTTTATTATTCAAATAAACTTATAACAAGCACTTATTTGAATAGTCCAACAATTTTTACCTAATCGTCTGTTCAGGACCTCTTCTCGCTAATAAAAATAAGAACGAGTGAAGGAAACTCTCTAGCAAAATAATACCATTACCGAATCAAAATCGATATTTATTTAACATTAATAATCAGATATCGATCATCTCTACAAATTGTATACCTTACATAGCATCACGGTACGATAACGCAATTTGTGAAATTTCCACAATCGATTTTGATCTCAACTTCAATGTACTTAAGTTTAGAATCTAGTGTAGTAATTGACAGTTATGTACACACTACTGCATGTCAGTTACTACGATATGTCAAGTTTCCGGATTTGTTTTAAACTCTACCTTCAAATTATGTATTAAGTTATTATAGCTAATTTACTTCAGTGGTCGCGGTTTACATACAATAATATGGTATTTTTTGAGGTACCTGCAGTGAATTCCGTCCTGTCTGCGTAGAGTGAAAAACTCGAGAGCGTTTTGTCTACACCCAAATGCCACTTTTATCGAGTGCGCTCATACGATACATGTCACTCACGACCGGAGAGTGTTATTTGGTGTAAACAAAGCGCTTCTGGAGTTTATCATGGTATGGCGTGGACAACTCTACTGCGACTCTAACCATAGGTGTAACTTTTTTATTGATTTAATGTTTTTTTGTAGCTGATGTTTTGTTCCGAATCACAAATAAATTAATTAAAAGCGATATATTATCAATCATTGAGCTTAACTTGTAGGCTTTGTGTTTTGGGTATCTATTATAGATCGTTCTATACGTTAAGAATAAGAATGGATTCCGGCAATCTTAGCAATTGCTGATGGTTTTTAGTTCAATTATCATGATACTCCGTCAAGCATGGTAATTTCAAACATTTGAATCATACGTACTTTTATTAATGATTGTCCATTCAGCAGAGTACAATCAACAATACAAGTTATACATAACTCTCAAATTTATTTAAATCAATTTCAACTCTTATTTCGTTAGAAATAAATTTCAAAATCGATTGCAAAAGTTCAACATTTTGTGATAACTTCAGGTAGGTACTGCTGTGTATTGTGAAGAAACGTGTTGCCTTCGAATAAAGTAAAACGAGAATTATGTTCTATTTGAATGTGAAGATAGAAAAAAAAAATCGATCCACACAGTAGATCAATTTCGCCCTTCAATCGAATCTACCTAGTTACTGCCATGATATCGATGAAATCAATGAAAAAAAACCTCTCTATTGTGGTATGACAAAAAGCCTTGTTTCTGGTAAGCACGTCTTATATATTGTGTTATACAAAGAAATAATTAGTTGGTACGATAACGGGAGTTTTTTACTTAATTCTTGCCTCTTTGTGTTCGTGTAATTTAATATTTTTTGTAATGAACCCTTGAGTGGGTGAGTGGGTGTTTCATTAAATATACCTATGAGTAATCTGAGCAAACCAAGGAAATATTAGAGGATTATATTCAATTTAACCTTGTGATTTTTACAATATTTACCTTTTTTATTTTCGAAAATATAAATCAAATTGATTCTCTTAAAATACAGTTTTTCAAATGACGATTATGAATACGAATTTTCCAGTATTATGAATATTCAAAATTAATATTTGGTTGAGAGTATGCCAAAAGAATTATATATCATTGAAGCCAAAAGAATTTATGCGAAATTAAGTGATGTCGATCGCTGATCATTATGGCGTAAACTGTTTTGCCATAAAGGGTGAGCTCCTTAAAGTTGTCGAGTGCATATACATAGCTAAGTGATTTTTAGGCAGTACTTATTACTGACATTCATGTTCTGTAACGAAATCCTACGAATATAAAGTTCTGCTGTTTCTTCAATTCTTCAACACATAGGTTTGAAAGTATACCAATTATTTGTACTCCTACTCTACCAAAGACAAGATGCAATCGTGTTGTTTTTGAATCCGTTTTAAATACCTTAAAGATCTACTAGGCCTCACTTGTGTTAACAATTATTTTTGTTCTACAGTTAAGTATTTTTCATAAGTTTAAAATACTATTTTAATAATATATTGGAAGGCAAAATATTACACCTGAATATGTGATAGTGATTTCCAGATAATTAATTAATTCAAAAAGAGTCTGCGCCGTTGCCAACAATATTATCAAGTAGGTAACTGTCGTCTAATAAATCCACTGTTTTTGTGCACTACAAATAGGTTCAAATTACATTACGCCCTTACTGAGTCGGCGTGGGATTATAATTGAGGCGCATATAGATGTTCTAGACCTCGAGTGGTCAAAAACAGTGAGCGACACTACCTTATTATATAACTTTGATGTCATAAGTTTTATCATATCGACATTTATTTTATAGAGAGAAAAAAAGTTTTTAATTCGAATCTCGTTTAAAGTAGCTAAAGGAATTGCTTTTTTAAAAGTTTTTTATAAAAGAACTTGCTATTTCTGTCATTCTTTCGATTTAAATATGCATTTTCACGTAATAAGACTTCAAAAAGAAAAAAAAATGTCGACATCAACAACAAACATCGCAGCGTGCCGTCACGATCATTAGTGAGATTTGACAAAAATTCTATTAAAAAATTCCTTTTTTTTAACTGTCTAGCAATCTGTTAACTTCAACTCGTACTGTAGCATTGTAAATACTGAAGCTACAAACTAAATTACCTCCCACGAAGCGGAAAGGTACAAGTGATCGAATACACACTAACAAAACAATTGGTTTTACCTTAAAAAAACACATTTAATATTCGGATGATTCATTTAAATAGAAACAAAGGTATGAATCTTTGTTTTAGCATCTCACAGGTATCTCTTGCTTTTATGGTGCTATTGTATAGTAAGGGATACGGTCTCTCCAGCATCCCAAAATAACTATGTTGGTCTGTCCGTCAATTTCTTTAAATACTTGACCTCTTTGTTGGAGACTGTTATCTTAGGAGCATCTATTCATTTTAAGTTCTTTGTTACTATATCTTTGAAGAAACAAAAGAAAAATATAATAATAATAAACTCAGGATAAAGGAACCAAGGAATCAGAAACAAAAGAAAAAAAACATAAATCAATAATATAAATATTGCATTTATTTCAACGAATTCTGCAAATATAATAACTGTAGATAATAATTATAATAATACTATTCAGTTTAAAAGACTTTCACACTTCTTAATTGTGACGTCTTAACATCAAAGCAAAACCTTCACGGCCTGGCACTGGACTTTGTATTCAAATAACTAAAGAACAACTTTATTTTAATAACATTAAATGCAGATCGCAAGTTATCAGTTAAAAATTAAATTATACAAAATTAAAATAAAATTATGGAAGTCGTATTTGAGGATAAATCAAATCGAATATTCACACCAGTGGCCCTGGTGATAATGCATAATATCTACATGACAAAACAATATATTTAGAAATAAAAAAATCAAAAAACAAAAATAAATACAAACATAACAAATATAAAATCAAAAATAATATAAAACAAAGCGATATGCAAATAGGCGGCTTCAAAATAACGGTGTGTATATTATATACAATTTGAGTATAAGACTATTATATAATATGCTATCGTAAAGTGTAATATTTGCATTTGAAAGATCAACAGAGACGTATCAAGACGCTATGGCGACCGTAAAAATTTCCACATAAATTAATAGCAGAATGGCGACACCCGCGGCGCGTGCGCAGGACGTCGCACACGCTGCCAGCGATTGTACCAAGCATTTAAATTTGAAGAAAATATTTGCATATCGCCTAACTCTTGTTACCCCCCAATCCCGATTCACTCTTATGTAAATTTCTCATGCAAAAACTGCAGCCCCCGGGACCCCACACGACAAAGAACGTTCTACTATTATGTAAAACGCGACAACTCCCAATGTTATGTCTGTATGTACTTTTGTAATTCGACACTTTCGCGCTCGCGCCCCTGTCGCGAGTCATTTGTGAAGTATATTTTGAACACTAAATAATTAGATATACAGTTATATCACAAGTTTTTAAGACGCCTCGACCTAACAAACAATAATATTTATTTATAATCTAATATAGATAACTATCGTAACACATACTCATTACAAACAATGTCAATTTTACAGTGTACTATGATCATTACAAACTAATAGTATACTTGTACAGTTTTAATTATATACAGTGGAGTTCAGAGATAATTTACAAAACACTTCAATTTTTGAAGGCATCTTATTTAAATAGTTATATAGACTTCAGGCTTCACTATGACTTTACATGATAACTAAAAACGTGTTAAATTTTCTAAAATATATAATTTGGTTTTCATTACATCCTACAACAATCGATAAAACGCTACATCTAATAGGAGTTTTAAATATGAACAACTAGGAAGAATAATATTATGCAACAGATCACTAGTCTACACGACCCCGCAACGTTGGTTGTTCCAAAAAATAAATAAAAGGAAAATAAAGCAATAAAAGGCATTCCAGTCAAATTTCCAAGAAAGTATTCTGATTGGAGTCATTTGAATAATTGATTATTCATGTGGAGAGAAATGCAAGCGTCAGATCGGCTACATTAGATCCACGGCGGGCGTCCTTCATGCGTCCCATCTCCTACCATTGTTATATCGTTTGCATTTGAATAGCGGCCGCGGCATATAACGCCCATTGACCAACCTCTCCTCCTGAAACCCGTCACCCGGACAATAACTACAGTCGCAATTAAACGAAAACAAACCACCTGGCACCTGAGCCACAGAAAAAATAATCCATTTCACACTAATTTTAAGGTTACATTATTATCAGTAGATTGAGAAATGTTTTTTACTGTTTCGGTCAGGTTGCCACGCTTCGAGCGATAGGTAGGTACTTGGTAATTATTTGAATTACAAAATAATTTCTGAGATTGAATCGGTCGTGTACGTGCCTCCATTAGTTTTCGCATGAGACAAACCGAATAGAAAACCATTTATTTGAGGATCCGTTTACCCGTTATGAATACATACTACGTCTCGTTTATAATATTAATTTTAAATTGAACAACCGACGCTGCGTGACGATATTGTAAAACTATTCAAGTAACATCTAAATTTTATTTACAAAAGGACTCACTAGTAGGAAAATAGAGCAACGACCGTCACGGCACGAATAGAGCTTCGCTCGAATCATATGTAAGCGTGGCATTATCAAACAAAAATAATTACTTGCATTAATTAGATCGTGCGAAGCTCGCCGCTGCGAAATTGAGCTATTCCTTCTATACCACACATACTTTGCGAAGTTTTCCGATATACAAAGGTGACAATGTGGCAGAATAGGAATGTCTCACGAGGTTTTTAAACAATAAGGTCCGAAGTCGCGCAGCGCTTGGCAGCGTTAGGCGACAACGGAGATCAGGTGCACTCACCATTGCCAGCGAGCTGAGGTCGCAGGAACGCGTTGTGCAGATCCCCACCGATGCCGCCCTCTAGGCGTGCTGCCATTTGCATAAGTGCAAGCGTGCTGCTGTCCTCGCCACCGCCTACGCCGCTTTCCAGCCGCGCGCGCACTGCCGCGATATGCCCGCGCGTGAACACGTGGTCTTGCACTGAGTACTTATGACTGTATTTGAAATCACACACGCGACACTCATCTGGTGGTGCAGCATCAGACACCTCTGACAGACCAGCCGCGAGCCGAGCTTTCTTTTCTTTGGCACGTGCGTTTTGGAACCAAACTTGTACTACTCTCTTCGGTAAGCCGATCTCACGCCCGAGAGCTTCACATTCTGCCATCGTTGGCGTTTTGTAGTCATTAAATAATGATTTCATTATTTTTACTTGTAGTGATGACATTTGTGTACGGAAGCGTTTGCCAGGAGGTCTGGGAGTCTGTGGCTGGCCTGTCAGTGGTGACGTGGGCTCGTCTTCTTCATAGAATTCCATCGTTTCTGATGCAGTATCTGACCGCTCATCAGCATCAGAGCCAGGTCTTGATAGGTCAACGGGCTTGCTAAGATCTAAGGGTATCTCGGATTTTCCATGTTCTGGTCGTCTTTCACTGGTTTCATTGTTACCATTTTGTTGAGCAGCTGCATGTGCTTGCAATTCGCTTACATATCGTTTCATCGATTCTTCACTGTACTGCTTGATAAATTTCTCCATGTCTGAGTGAAAAGGCGGGAATATAGGGGGCAACATGGGAGCCCCCCCTTGGGAAAAATTTTGCTGTCTGTCACTTTGTTGCGAGCCAAAACTAGGTGTTGATTCTGTACTCAATTCTTCATCTGGTAATGCATCTACATTAATTTCACCTCTCGCACATTGATCTGCGTGCTTCGTACTCAGATGGCTTTCTAATGCACTTTTTACTTTAAATAGAGCTGGACAAAATGGGCATCGCTTATTTATGACCTGTGCATGAGCACGAAATTGTCCTTTTCTTTCACGTGCTCGTGTATTTTGAAACCAAACTTGAACCACTCTCTTTTTTAATCCCACCTCTCGTGCTATATTTTCGAGCATTTTACGAGAAGGATTAGATTCTATTTGATATTTTTGATAAAGATAATCTAATTGTTCTGGCAAGATTGTCGTTCTTAATCTCTTGTCTTTAGGTTGTTCTCCAATTTCGGTCTCTTCAAAGTCATCAAATTTTCTTTTAGCTACTTGTTGGTTTAATGCTGCCACTAATGGATGTCTAGCTTCATCATTTCCTAACGAAGCGTTTAACTGTTGAAGTTGAGCATGCTGCTGTAAGATGCCAAATGGAGAATCTGGAGGATATGTGGGAAACAAATTCGGATTCATTATGTGAACAAGTTGGTGTTCTCGCCACAAATCAAATCGAGGGAAGACTAGGTTACATTTATCACATTGAAAATTTCCATCTTTTTCATCACGTGGGGTATGCGCCAATGGCGTAACTGGGGTATGAGGGGCTGGAGGGGCGGGTGACACTGGATAATTAGTGGCAGCTGGTGTTGGAGTACGAGGCGGTGCTGGAGACACTGGTATATGTGGAGTATGATGTTCCACAGTACTTGAATTTGAATCTTCGCTACTTAACGTAGCTGCTACTTGTGCGGCTGCTGCTTGCGCTTGAGCTGATCTTTTAGCATCTTCTTCTTTAAAACAGTGCGTTTTTTGATGTCTTATTAATTCATAATATCTCTGGAAAACCAGTTGGCACTTTTTGCATTGATAGTTAAGCCCAGGTGTTCTTTGAAATCTATTAGCATCATCTGTAGCACCGGCTGGTGGTTCAGCAGCAGGTTGATTTTCATATACTTTTCTCGCCTTTTGTCGTGCGTTTTGAAACCAAACAACAATAACACGAGGACTTAATCCCAGTAGTTTCGATAAATATTCTAAATCATCATCTTTTGGATAAGCATTGTTTTCAAAAAATTCTTGTAGAACTTTGATTTGGTAGTCAGTAAATCTAGTTCTGTTGGCGCGTTTGCCAGAAGACCCCGAGCTGTTGGATCCGTTCGAGTTGCCCCCGGAAAGTCCGAAATCGGCCGGTCCCCTGCCAGGACTGAGGCTGCGATTTGGGGTCAAAGGTAGGACGTTCGGGGGCGCGGAGTTTGGGGACGTGAAATTTGGATTTAGTTTTGGTGGTAACATCGACGGATGAGGCGGTTGTGGTATACTAGTAGCCGGAATAGAGTCTAATTGCGACTGAATCAAAGAATTTAAGGAAAGATGTGTTGGCGTCTGTGGCCTCGATATATTTTGTACATGATCAGAATGGTTCATATTTGGTGCAGGACTTTGTGATGGAGCCTGAGGAAAAATAAAGCTTTTATCTTCTTGATGTCTGTCTTCATACGAATTATATTTTTCTTCCATTGTGGGTTCATCGTTTGGTTCCGACTTTACATCTTGTTGGTTATTTGAAAGTACATCTTCTATTTTAGCTTTCTTTTCTGGTGGTGGTTTACCTTCATCAGAACTGGCGGATGTATCTAACGGAGTGACTTTGGCTTCCCCAGTTTTTTCATATTCCTCAAGGTTGAGCGTAGTCGATGGAGGATTATTAAAGTTGTACGGAGAATCCTTGTTTCTTTGGCGCTCTTTGAAAAGCGTATTTCTAAACCAGTGCTTAATTACTTTGGTCGCAAGTCCTGATTGTTTAGCCATTTTAGCTATCGCTTCATCACTAGGAGAGTTGTTGATATCGAAGTGTGCACGCAGAATCTTTAACTGCTCATCAGTAATACGAGTACGAGCTCGCTTTTGTCCTGCGGCAGCGTTTGCCTGTAAACAAAAGAAAATATTAATAATTACTCTCTTGCGCTTACATACTGATGGCACCATGCATTAAGTCTAAAATCACGAGAATACATACGAACAAAGGAAGGTTTAAATACTTTATCGGTATAAATTTTCTTTAGTGTAACGTTTAATAATAGTAAAAAGAGCGTTATGTCCCGAAGGTGCAACAAAGGGTTCACTGTTGCTTTGTGCAAACAGATAGCTTATGATAACTCGCCCTTCTTATCTTTTATTGATATCTTTCTTATTTACTTATATTACCGTTAAGTTAATATATTTAGAAAAAAATTGGATGAGAATTGTTATATTGTATAACAAAAAAAAAAATTGTGATCTTCAAGACTAAATTTCGTATAACTATTCGCAGCTTTTCAAGTGGTGAGTTTTTGTATTCTTAACAATGGATAACAAAGAGCAAAAGGACCGTATTATGTACACGTGCTTACCACGTGTATAGATCATATGAAAAATATTGAAATTTTTAAGTATTTGATAACTATATCTAGTTACTTTTCTTATGAATTATTGTGAAAGTTTACATTTTTATACGACAATGTTTTTGTATTCCGAAATTCGCTTTGAAAGAATAAAGTTTCAATGAATAATTTTTTGTGTATATTGTTAAACTAGTGATCAAGACATGTTGGTTTTATGGATAAGTTTATTCACTATATTAGTATGTTACGTAATAACTTGGCGCCCTTTTTACGAGAATTACACGTCGTCTATAGATTATGACATTTGGCACAGTTAAAGCTTATGTGGAGATAAAGTATAGAATAATTATAAAATTATAATAATTACATTGAATTATTAAAAAAAAAAAACTATACATAATACCATGAAGAATATTACACACACTATCATGCGTTTGACACTTTTGTTTACTGTGTATGAAACAATTATAAACAAGCAAATTTAATAAAGTTTGATAATAATCAAACTAGCTATTGACTCGCAACTTTGCCCGCGTGAATTAGAGCTTATATCACCTACGTTTGATATAGAAAGATAGGTAAACTAACTTTTATGATCGAATCAGTATTTTCGAAGATTATTATCCTATACAAACAAATAAAGTTAGAAACTTTATCCTTTTATAATATTAGCATAATTTCGACCATTAGTAATTAAATTAAGATCCAATTATTCACTCACAGATTACTTACGTATTGGATATAGATCAATTATTGGACACACACACACCACTCACACAAAAAGCACTGCAATCCGAAAATAACAAATACAAATATTGATATAACAACTGACCTGTTGCTGTTGTTGAATTAACTGCTGTTGTTTTAATTGTGCGTCATGGGCAAAGGGCATTGCGTCAAAGGGTGGCGGGGGCAGCATTAGCGGCACCAGTGGAGGTTGTAGGTTCATAGCTGCAAGGGCCCCAACGTTCAGGCCCAAAGGAAGACCGAGTGAGAGCATCTGCGCGACCATTGGATGCAATTGACCCAGTTGTTGTTGAAGTTGCAGCATATTTAATGCAGCCTGCATTTCTTGCACTTGCGCTGCTAATAAAGCTCCAGCTTGTGCCTCGCCAGAGGCATTGCCATTCTCATTAAAGTTTCCAGCACCGTCACCGCGAGGCGAAGGTGACCTGTCACCCTGCGGCGCAGGCGACGCAGCACGTGGTGAGTTCGGCGCACCAGATTTCCTTTCATATTCCGATTTGAATTGTTCTGCGAACTGTTCGAGGAACTCCAGGGGAACTTTGTCTTTATGCACTTCTTCACAATGAGTTTTTAACACGAATACACTTGAAAATTCTTTGTTGCAATGTTGACACGTCGATTTCGTTTCACTGTCCGGCGGTTTTTCTTCTGGAGGTGGCGGAGGCGGACTAGGTGCTCGTACCATTTCACGTTCTTCTTGTAGTTTCCGCCGTTGGTTTTCATTATATTGCATGACGAGATCGAAGCCGAAGGTTTCTAGTAATTGTTTATACATCTGTGAGTTTCGTTTAGGCGGATTGCCTTTGGCTACCATCTCGTCTAATGCCGCAACTTCTGCGTCACCAAGAGGCGAATGCGCCCGCGCATCGCCAAATGGACATGCGGTCGCACGATGTGCGTCGAGTAAGTCCCCGTTTGTAAATGACGCGTGGCAGCGATCGCAGGAGGCGCTACCTGCGCGCGGGGATCGCGGGCTACCTGGGCGCGCGGGGGGCGATGAGCGCGGGCCCCCACTACTTGTTGACGAAGGGGATGTATTTTTTGGCGACAACACGTCTTGTAAAATTTTGGCGGGGTCGTTCCTGTCCGGCTGCTCTACCAAAGGTCGTGTCAAATCCACGTGTCCGGCCGCGGCGAGCTCTTGCAATTTTCCCGCTCTGGTTTGATGTAATACCGATCTCATATGAATATCGAGTGTACTGCCTTGCGTATAAGCTACTTTACAAATATTACATTTGTAGCGTTTACGATCGTCCTCTTCACTTGACGTACTTTTTGGTGTGAGTGTCAAATTAGAGGGCGCGGAGCCTGCCCCAGGGGACACGGGAGGGTTGTTATTATTCTGTTGTTCTTGCATGGCTCGTTTCAATTTGTGCAAATGGCTCACGCTGTTATAATGAACTAACAAGATATTCTTTTGTGTGAACGACTCTTTGCATACATCACATTTGAATGGCCTATTGGGGTCAAGATATTTTTCCATTGGATATGTGAGTTTTTCACCTTTTCTGTGTAAAAGTGTTTTATTATGAGCTGTCAAGTACGATTGACGGGTGAATGCCACTTTGCATCGGTGACATTTGTACTTGCGATTAGGATCGTTGTAGGAATCTTCAGCCATAGCTTGAGAATTTAAATAATCTTCCAAAAATTGTTGATCTTTGTAAATTATTGAATCATCAGAATTTTCAGCATCGTTATGAGCGGATTCGTCAGCAACAGTAGCGCTAGAATCTCTGTCCTCCGTATCTGCTAGTTCATCATCAGGCGATCGCAGTGCCTCTTTACGCAATAACTCAGCAGTTGCAGAGTCCAATGCTGTACCTTGATTGGTTTGCAATAATGGATTTGATGCAAGACTTCTTTTAAATGCATTAAGTTCTTCTTCTGAGAGCTCAGGATGTGATGTTTCGACGTGTTTTTGTAGGGCTAGTACTGATCTAAAGCTTCTACCACAGAGTACACATTTAGTGGCATCTCTTATGACATGATACTGTGAATGAAGTTGTAATTTTTCAACTGTTTTAAATGCAAGACTACATTGGTTGCAACGATATTTATAAACATGTTTTTCAGATACAGACATATTTGCAATCGAATTTCGGGCGTGAGCTTCTCTAAAATGGTTTTGGAGAGCATGGGCAGCATCAAAGTATCGATTGCATCCTTTCTTCCAGCACACATAACCCGGTCCTTGAGGTGTTTGTTTCAGTTCTAAATGACCGGACTCATTTTGGTGCTGACACAGTTCATCGACATTACGGAAAGTACGATTACAAGTTGAACATCTTTCTGTTTCACCATCTGCGCTGCCTTCTGAGCGTGGAGACGCAATTTCCCGTTCATCTTCGCCTTGCTTAGAGTCATCTCTTTGTGATTGAGAGCTACCATTGAGCCAATGACTTTGATCAACGAGTAATAATAATCGCTGTAAGCCTTCCGAATTTACTGAATGTATTTGCATAACATGTCGTTCAAGAGCTGGTCTTTCTTTGAATGCATCTTGACATAGCGGGCAGATGAAATGTCGTACTGTGTCACCGTGAATAGATGTGAGGTGAGCATGTAGCCGAGCCTCACTTCCACAACTGAAGTTGCAATAAGAGCAAGCGTGCGGCCCTGGCGTTTCTCTCTCCTCGTCTCTGTCACTGGAGCTTTGCTGCGCTTGCTGTTGTTGTTGCTGCATCTGTTGTTGTTGATGTTGTTCTAAAAATCTCAACATCTTCTGCTCTTGAGTCAACTCTGGCTTCTGATCAATCGGCTCTTTGTTATCTGTTAGCAAACATATATAATAAATTAATTAATTGTTAAACAAAATATCAAACAAATTTATTAATTTTATTCGAACCGCTCGCAACGGAATCTGCGACACAAATGGGATCTTGATCTGTATTCCGCAGTCCACAATGTCTACCTATGTCTACGTGAGATTTATCTACAAAAAAGATTATTTCTATAAATGAAGCTGACTATTGTTCGGCGCGAACGTTTGTTACTTTTCTGAATTGAAGTTAAAAATAAAATTCTTCTCCTTTATATTATTAGTACGACTCGTTTTGTTTGCGACGTCCCGGCAAGACAAAGGTATCGGTTCTATCCAACCCGTACGCACACATACACAAACGTTAATGCTGACGTAACAAGTATATTGTAATTTTGCACACAAAGGAGATACAGGACGAGCAAACAATCATTGTTCATTATTACAAAAGAATTCGAATATTTCGTTTCGCATCGGATCAAATGCATACGGGAGATTTGACGTATGTGACGGTGGGTGTGAGTGAGATGACGATATAATGGATATGCGAGAGTGCAATTATTATTTGACCACGGATAAGTCCGCTGCAGCGTGTGAAAGAAGCTGCCCGTATTGTTTACGCTTAAATAAGGAAGGTGAAAGAAACAGCCAATATGAAGGGAACCAAAAGATTCGTTAATATAACGTTACAATTATACTTTATTAGATGAGCATCTGACGGCCCGTCCAATCTATTGTGTTCGTTTTCTTAGAAATTTTTCAGACAAAAAAGCATTACCATTTTAGATGAATGTGACAAATGACAGAATATTATATTATACGAAGTTAGGAAGTATTCGTTTTATATATATCATTTATGAAGAATTTGGGATCTGTAAATGCAGAATATGAAATTTTCTACATCGTCTTTGGTCTGGATACACGACGAAGGTACCACCCTTCGTCGTTTCACACACTTCCTAGACTCGAGAGCTTTATCTACTTATCTTGGAATCTAAACAATGTATGTTATCATCTAATATTTATTTGTTACAAATTAGAAACGAAGTTTTTTATTTATTTATTTGAATATTATAATAAGACAAAAGGTAAAATAACGTGCAGCTGGAAATTCAGTTAATTAAAATTTAAATGTTCTCACAGTCCAGCAAACTTGAATCCCCAACCCCTGTTCGGGAACCCGTTTCCATAGTTTTAAGCGTTTAAAACCGTTACATCTAATGAAAGGGATGGGGATAAGTAAATCCATGTGAGGAATAATAACCATGGTGCAACTGACCCTAATACAAAGCCGGAGTGACCGATGTATGTAATTATTTATGATGTAGAATCGCTGACCCACAGTCTGGTAGGAGCATAGAACAATACCCAGGTAAGGGACCTTGTCTGCACAAATGTGATCTCCGACGCTTTTTGTCAATGGACAAAGGGCCCTTTTTCTAAGGAAACACCACATCGTTATAGCGTCGTAAAGTAGGTATTGTGCAACCAGTTTTGTTTTGCAAGATTTAGGTCAGGATTTTTACAATGTGGCGTCAGGGATACAATGGTTACTTAATGTTTTATTGTTTTCTTGTTTCCATTTTGCAAATTTAACTTATGAAATTGCGATTTATTGCGTCAAGATTTGAACACTTTTCTAAAAGGGTTGTTTGTATAATGATCATTATTTTTATACAAACATTAACATCCAACTAATTTAGGTATCTATCTGTAATATGATTATTATAGAATCAAAAAGATTCTTTGAAGGAAACTGGTTTTTATGAAATGATGTCTTCGACAAAAGATAAAGCAAAAAAATTTCAAGTTGGGGTGCCACTGCTCAAACAAAATTAAGCAAATAACCGGTTTTTATTCTTGTTAAAATTCAATTGATAGCAAGAATAAGTAACAAGGAAATTAATAAGAGACAGATAGGTTAGGGCACACTAAAAATTTCGATGTAAATTATTACACCGATTTTATCTACACTAAAACATGTAAAATTGATCGGAACTCAGTTCCATGTAAATCGATCTTCAAAAGCAAATAACAAGCATAAATATGTGTACAATGGCATAAGTGAGATTTCTTTCGCCTCTACATTTCTCTTGGAATTTATCGTATTTCACCATGGCTATAAACATGTGACGGGCGATGCGGCCGGCGACATTGTACGATGATGTAGCAGCCTCATCACAAGAGGCAATCATCCTTAATGCGCGACGGCCACATACGTAATGCGAGTCATTGTACCGCGTGCAGTACTTATGGAAAATTCGCGTTCCCAATTCAAATCTTCTTTCTGTCTCCCTCGCTCGTGGGGCGGAGCCGCCTCCAACCAATGACGGCATCCGACTGTGGCGACACCGTGTAAGGCGTACGTTATTAAAGAAACCTGTTCTAATGTAGCGCGCTTTAAATTAAATTTTGTCCGTGTGTAATTATCTCATTATTGTGATTACGAATTCTTCGCTAAATGCTCATCGCCGTAAATGGAGATTGCTTCTTAGATTGAACACGACAAACGGTCGCGTTGAGCGTTAATTAAGCACCCATAAGCAACGTGATACGTACCATTTTTTAGTATGTTTAAGTAAATTAACACGAAACAAATTGTATGTTTATTAGCACTCTCATAGAAATAGGTTCGGTTTGTAAAAAATGCAGAACAAAATTGATTAAGGAACGAATCGGATTAAATTGGAAACCGATAGTGACGTTTCGAAATCACATTCATAAGTCGACTCCGTATTACTTTATCGGTATGAACGGCGGTAATGGTTTTGGTTGAATTAATTTTAATGGGATTTTCATGCTTTATAGAATAAAATGTTACGAAATGTGTTTAGTACAAAAGTAATAAACAATATATATTTTTTTATTAGAAAGAGAAAAACGCGGTTGTACTATAGACATCTAGTGGTGGAAAAACGAAATCAGTTACACTTAGTGCGCACGCGTACCCAATTATTATTCGATTTGTTACTACGTAACGATTTTACGTGAACTCGTTAATTAACATTAAGGCGTGTAGCAGTAATAGACAACACCTCGAGGAACTGTTCAATAACAATAGACCAGTCACGGTTGGAAAATTATTAGCTAACAAATAAGTTATTTCCTTATTACGCTGGTGAACATGAAAAGACAAACATTCTACAAAACGTAAAAAAAACAATATTAAAAGAAAGAGTCGCCGTAGATTTGATTGCGAGAGGTTCTTTTTTATACTTACCATTTTCTTGTTGATCAAATGGGCTTGGTAATTCTGGTGGCTGAGGAATAACTTGGAATAGCTCCGCGACATCTGGAGTTGGATCCTTGCCTTCGGAACGTCGCTGCAATTGATGTATTTGTTCCATTTGCAAATGTTTCACTGATCGAACATGTTGCAACAGGGGTAGGCGGTGAGGAGCTCCGAAACCACAAAGAGCACATCGATACACCCGAGGACGTTCACGTGGAATCCGAGATGCACAATCCCGAAGATGTCTCAATAATAGAGTAGCAGCTTCGTGTCTAGCACCTGCTGCGTGAAGTTGCAGTTTATGAGCCGAGTTAGTGTAATAATCACACGCGCAGCATCTGACTTGTACTCCACCGACGCCAGCACCACCCGTTCCTACGCCTCCACAAAATTTCAACTTCCACTCGTTCCTTGGTCCTCCTTCTTTCACATGGTTAACATGTTGTAATCTTTGTAAATGTTTGTCAGTCTTGCAGTGAAGTTGAAAGTTTGCTTTCAAATTTGTCTTATATGTACACAGTTTGCAAACATAGTGTCCGGCGACCAGTGCCAAAATTTCTTGCTCTCTAATCTTTGTACGATCTTGAGCTAAGTGATGACCGAGAGCTTCTAAAGAATCTGTAGAAAAGCAGTTACAAATACAACAATGAAAGGTTCTTTCTGGTTCTGGGTCCGCTGGTTCTGGAGGTGGTTCCATGGCTTCTGGATTTAAGCCAACATCAAGATGGGCTCCTAACTCAGGTGGAGAGGGTCCAGGGCCTCCAGTCATTAGTTGTATCATTAATGCTTGATTGTAAGCCATATCAGCTAGAGCAGCTTCTGGATTAGGTGGAGGTGCATCACCCCCATGGAAATGTAATAAGCTTTCCAACTGCTGCTGGCTCTGTTGTCTGTGATGTAATGCAGATAACGTTTGCATATGTTTAACATTTTGTTGTAGTACTAACATATTGTGGGTATGTTTTTCAGACGTCATATGAATTCTCAGGTTACGTGCCACGTTTGTTTCATAATTGCAAACGTCGCATCTGAAAGTTGGCTTAGGTTTCTGACCTAAAGGCGAGTGATGAGGCAATGGTGGCTTATGAGCACCTGGAGGTGTATGTTGGGGTGCAGGAGGCAGATTTCCTTCTCCTGGATTGCCACCATTTTGTAATTCTTGCATATTATTTAAATGTTTATCGGATTGCATATGTATGCTAAGATTTCCTTTGGTGGTTGTGGAGTAATTACAAACTTCACAGCGATAAGGTTTGTATCCGCAGGTATAAGTTTCACCTCGCGCTAACCTTGGATGTGGTTGTCCAGCTATACAATAAATGCAACTTGTTTCAGCTTCAGGATGTTTTTCTTTCATATGAATTTCTAATGTTTCTTGATATTTATAATGCCAGTTGCATTTAGGGCATTTCAAGGTTTTGCAGGAGTTTCGACTATGCATACCAGCTAACGGACCACCTAATCGTCCAGAGTTTAATATTAATTCACATTTAGGACATTCAGCACCTGAAGGGCGGCCACCAAGGTGATCCGGGCACACTCCTATCGTCGTACCAGAAAGGAAAGCTGGTGGAGTCGCCTGGAATGGTGGAGAAGAATTTGGACTGATTCTTGGTTGCACAGAAGCGTTAATTGTGTGAGGGTGTGCAACTGAGATCAAGGAATGCTGCTGTACCATAGATTCTGCTATTGATCTTGGTGGTCTCCATGCATTTGGACTTGGCCTTCTTTCGTCACATGTGCCATTTGGCAATCCGGAATCATTATCTCTATCGGGAATCATGGTGTCAGGTCTTTTATCTATGGATGGGCTTGAAAGCTCTGACATATTTGCAGGACTATCAGATACTGGTGCACGAGGTGGTGCAGCAGTACCTACGGGTTCTAAAAATGAGACTAGTGGCTCTTTATCTTTTCCAACGCATTGAATAATAGCAGATGCATTCTCTCTTGATAAAGCGTCTCTCTCAGAGTCTAATAATGATAAACTATGATCAGATTGCGCATGCGCCACAAAAGATTTAGCATATCCAAAACTTAATTTACATATAAAACACATAAGGATCGGTTTCACTGGTACGCTGATGGGACACTCATTTGGCGGAGATGTCGGCCTAGGTGCGTCCTTAGCTCCACGAAAACTGAACACTCGGTAGCTATGCATTACTGGCGCATCAGGCCTTGCTCGTGCTCTCTCTGCCGCTAATCTTCCGTATAGAGCTCCATATAACGACGGGTTTCTCGATACATAGAAAGCACTCGCAATCTGAGGAAATTCCAGTTGTCTCTCAACGATGTTACTGTCGCGACTATCGACGATGCACCCAGGTTCTATTTTAGGTAAGTCGGGTAGGCTAGTTTCACCCTCTGATAGTTCAGGGTCCTCAATAATGTAGGCTGATCCATCAGGATTGTAGACAATTTTGCCATCGAATCGCTCGACGTCTGAAGAAAGCGGCGGGGAGTCACGTCGGGAAGTGAGATCAACGGCATCGGGTGCAGCAGGGGGTGAGGTTGGCGCGGGTGCGGAGGAAGGTGCGGGCGTGGGCGCCGCTGGTGCTGCGGGAGCATTGCGCGGCTCCTCCTCAGGACTCATGTCGCCGTCGTCGTCGTCAGGCTCGAGCGCGGCTGAGCTTTGCGGATCGTCGCGCTTGCGGCGCCGCTTGCGCTCCGGGGGCGGGCCGCTAGCGGGGCCGCCGGGCTGCAGCGGCGTGGGCATGGCGCCGGGCGTCAAAGGCCGGCATCACATGCTCTCCTGTAACAATAAAAAAGTATTACATTAAAAACTGTAAGTGAATATATGTAAGCAGAAAATTGATTTTAAATTAATCTTATTGGAAATATAGATTTAGTTACTTCAGCTGGTAGTGAAGCGGTGGAATCTAACTTGAAAATCAAGGTTTTATTCATATTGAAATGAGCAGTATTTATTATTATTTAAAATTTAAGGAATAGTTTTCTCTCATTCGGTAACCATCGATTGAACTTAAATATTAAACAGAATTTTTCGTTATACATTAAATAGTGTTACAGAATTAACGTTATGCTTCGACAAATATCACTTAAAAGGGTTAACAATTTAAATAATAAATCGCTTATTTCTCACGGACTGGTTTCACCTAGTTCACTGAAGGTGACTATTGTATAGCTTGTGCCAAATGGACGACGTCATAAACGGAAGTAGGTGGGGCGATTGCTTATGTCACCAGCTTTGTTTTCGAAGTTTTATTTTGTCATTATTCTGTGATTATTTGGATCAAATTCTTTTATTAACAGGTTGTATTATGATGAACAGGGAGTGTTTCGATGGCATATATATATCCCTATGTATATCTTTATATAAATGTAATATAATATTTAGAACAAATTTTCATCTTTTCATTTGGCTGCATTGCCTGAACATTGATAAAAATCACTAGTAGTGAAAAGTAACAAGTGCTTGAAAAATTCGTCATTTCTGTTGAGTCTTGAGTAGCTCAATGGTTAGAACAATCACTTGGATTCCAGATTGTAGGTACGAGTCCCACCTTGGGGTACTTGGACTGGGGATTTTAAGCATTATTCATTAAACATAATAAGGATGAGCGAGGCTTTCCCAACACAAGTGTCATTAGACTACTTTCTGAGAAGCCCCGGCCACATATTTGTATGGATTTATTGAAATAAAATACTTTTCTTTCTTTTTTAAATATCTCTTAACTTTCATTTTACATAAGAATCTTTTCCTAACCTGTACATTGACATTAACAAGGGAATTATATTAAAATACTGTGATGTTAGTAGTTTAACAGTTACTAGCTCATAGGTTATATAAAACTTTACAGGTTAATTCGATTTCGTAGATTTGTAATGCAAGTCAATGCAAGTGAAATTTAAAAAAGAATCAGAATGTGTTAAAACTCAAATGGATTGTATTACATGTATTTTCTCGAATGTTTCAGTATTATTATGCAGCCACTTTAGTGTTTCGTTCGTTTTTTGTAACAAAATCTACCAGATACTCGATAATCCCAATTCCCACAAGGCAAGAGTTCCGTAATCTAAGTACACAATACTCGTATCTTCACAAATTAAAATACATAGTAATAGTTGCTTATCTAACTGTTATTTGCGCAAACAACTGCGATCAATTTAACCGAATGACAGCTGTCAACGTTGTCAACACTGACACATTTACAATTAAGCAACCAACAAACCTGGAACTCGGCAAACATAACATTATTACGTGTCCATAGTGAAATTCCATTGAATTATATCCCTTCTTACGCTGCAATAGAGGTCTTCAATGAAAATAGATTGATTATGTTCGGTATGAAATGAAAATTCGTTAAAAAATGAGATTAAGCCGTCATCTACGTTATCTAGATTGTTATCGCGGATAAAAGTCGCTTCAAATACTTACCTAACGAGGGCGGAATAATATGTTTTGTTAAGATGACAAATAAGAGATATATGAAAAATGTCACATGATTTTCCAATAAGATAAATCAATTATTGATTAAAAATCTCACCAGAAAAGATAGAGAACATTTTCCTTCTGGAAAATACCTAAGGTTGATTTTCTAATAGAACCAATATTAGTTAATGGTTAAGCAAGATACTTTATTAAATAATGGAATTCTTAAATGTACATTAAAAAAAATAAGTACAAGAACTAAAACTCGATTACGGCTTAATCATGGTCTAAAAAGTTTGAAATAAGAAATTTATTTTATAGCGATAGCTATAATATAATAGCGATAATAAAAGGACAGCGTAGTATGCCACTGATCATAACAAAACAAACTGTCGTAGTCGGGTAATAAAGCTTAAAATTCATGAAACTCAGGTACCTGAATTGGGATATGAATCTATAACCTTTCGCAATAGAGCTCTAATCACTTGAGGTACTCGAGACGTATACGAGGTAATAACGAATTTCTCAATGACTTTCGCTACTAGTAAGCGAGTTTTCTTCAAGGGTAATTACCTAAATTGCACTAAACAATCGACAAAATATGTTTAAGTTTCGATAAGATGGAAATGTTTTCTAAATATTATATTTGTAAGTCTTGTGATGGAAACTTTTTTTAGAGTTAAAACTGACAAATAACGTATACCAGCAGCACATAAGCACAAGTGCATTCAATTTTGAACTTCAAATTAAGAAATTAAGACTAGAAGCGATTGTAGTAATTTGGCTTTTAGTGTTAACCTGGCATCTGTAATATTTTAATATTTACTTAAATCCCAATAAAGACTTTTTACTTTTTTAAATAATTTATATTTTTTCCAGTAATAAATGGCATTTTGATTGACTTCATGAATTTATTAATGAGATCAAGTTTAAAATATTATTAAATTAAAAGAAAATTAGGTCCAAATTTGAAGAAGATATCGCAGAATATACAAAAATGAAATCGAATTGAGAACCTTTATAAGGCAGTCAAAACAGAAAATATTGTTAACAAAACCTTTTGTCAGACCATTGAAGCTCACGTACGAGTATTTATAGTAAGTAATATTGGACATAATATTTTATATGAATCGGTAAACCAACCTAATACGAATAGTTTAATACAATATTCTCACTTTCAAATAAAGCTAGATTAACGTAAAGGTAATGAAAGGAACTGACTTATTAATGACGTGTCTCATTATTCCATTAATCAAGCTGACAAATTAGTGAATAACCGCCGGATGCAGATAAAATATGAAATTAACTATAAGTCGGTGACGAAGCTCATATGGATGTGGACTTAAATGATAAAGGATTAAATAATTGATATCTCGAAAAAGACCTCACAAATAATTTGGGAGACCGCACCCATAATCATGTTTACATAATAACCGTCTTCCAGGCCCTTGAAATAGTGATAAATGTATCGAACATATCTACAATGTCAATATTTAAAGAGACGCGTGACAGATATTTAGTATAAATGAAGTTCTTTATCCAATAATGACGACGTATTCTAATTCTGATGGTTAAAACCTTGTTCGATACAATCAATAGTAACTACTATTCACTCACAAAATTTTTGATGATATATTTTAACAAGATCGAATAATAGCATATTTATATGTATATATCCTTTTTTGTGTATACCTATGATATTCTATTTGGTGCCGATAGCGCAGTGGTAACCGAGTTTCGCAAGGGCTGGGCATATATATATAATGGGTAACCAACAATTTTATATTTCGAGCTCCATATGGTGAGCATTTGTAGTGGATGACGCCCACCAATGGACACTGCGCCCGTGTAGTCGATAAAAGTCCATCCCTATTCGATTCAATTCTAGAAATGTCTGTGCCTGTGTCTCTGCAGTTGCGGCATTAAAGGTTGGTGATAATATGATTATCCTATTTGTGAGAAATTAAATGCTAAATTAAAAATAAAACTTTCAATTTGACAAGAGTACATTATCTGAAGAAAAGCTAACGTGTCGTTTTATTGAAATTCAAATTTACATTGATCTATTTGATTATCTTGAAACGTGACGATATCTTGTACATGGCAAAGTAAATAAGTCCAATTACTACGTATAATTATTGTGGTTCTTCTCTAAAGCAATTTGTAGATCATTTCGCAGTGCTAATGTGTATGGAAATTATGCAAAGAGCCGGTAATTAGAGTGGAGGTGAATGGTCTGTAATGCTATAATTTGCTTCTAACTATATTTTTACTTGTACCGCATTTGACTAGATCGTCAAAGTAATTGACACTAGAGTTTTATAAAGAAAAAGTGATACATGAGCACGTGGAAATTGTATTATTAGAGTGAATTAGTTGTAAAGGAATTTTATTTATACACAACAAGTTGTGTAAAATCAAAAATCTCGTACAATATCAAAGGCTAGAAAAAGACACTGCTATAATTTCTGTTTTGCAAAGTGGCACTCGATTATTAAATGTTTAATAAAGTTGCACGTGCATCCATTCCCATCGTTACAATCAGTGATGTCAATTTCCACAAATACCCCCGAACCCCGCAGCAGAACTAATTTCCGATAAAAGCACACATAAACACACTTACTTACGTCCAGTGCAAATTATAAGTATACATGAGTGTGTGAGCGTGAGAAAACTACGGCGGAAATTATGACTTGTGTGTGCATCTACACTGACGCAATTTACGTATCCGTACGAGACTCGGATCACACACAAGCGCACCGTGCGCATGCGCACACACGCGGCACCCGCATCGGAATACTCTCCTACAATAGTTATCAAGTCCGTCATAATGAAGATGCGCGCTTTTCAATTCATTAATGAGGCTCCCACAATGTTATTGATAGGATGGAGGAACGAATGAATACCGCTTTTGTCAATGTCCAATTTATGAACAGTAATCTGCATGATCACCGACTAATGCAACTTGTTTATTTAAAGAGAAAGCTAATCAATAGGAATTTGAAAGGGGCAATACTGACGACGACAATAAATTCAATGGAAGTGAAATTTTAAATTATATAAAGTACGATAATGTTAAAATAATAAGTATCAAGACAGATATTCATCAAGATAAAATTTCTTAATTAGTAACAAATACAATAAAAATGAGACTAGTTCTAGCAAAGGCGCTGTCATTTATCGTAATATAAATATTATAACATCTCCAAGATGAAATAAAATTAAGAAAATCGAAATGATTGAAACTTCGATACGGTTACCGCACAATCAATCGTAAACAAGAAACCGTCCAATAAGCATGAGACGTCAGTAAAGAACGACAACATTGAGTTCAATAGTGTGCAAGATGCGTTTGTCAG